CTCATATCAATACCTGAGTGGGAAAGTGTACCTGAAGACTTCCCTAAGTCTAAGTTACCTATCAATTACGGGTATTTTACTTTTCCGTATTTGTGTACAGTTCCCTACGGCAAAGTTTTACTCACTCCTAGTGGGTTGAAAGCTTGTTCCTGGCCCTTTTATTCATGAAAATGCCCGGATGGGAAAATGCACCGGAAGCTCTCATCATCTTACCAAATTTCTTATTGTTCAGCGCTGGGGTGATGGCAGGAATTGATATCCTCTCGTTTCCCTACGTCAACGTTCTTGACCACAGGTGGTTAGATCAAAAGCTATGATCCATATCTTCAACTCATATGAATACCTGGGTGGGAAATTGCACCTGAAGACTTCACTGACCACCTAAGTCAAAGTTACCTATCAATTACGGGTATAAGCACACTTTTCCGTATTTGTGTACAGTTCCCTACGGCAAAGTTTTTACCCACTCCTAGTGGGATTGAAAGCTTGTCCCCGGCCGCCCTTTTTTCATGAAAATGCCCGGATGGGAAAGTGCAACAGCAGCTCACAACATCATACCAAATTTCTTATTTTTCACTAGAGGGACAGTGGCAGGAATTGCTATTTCCCGTTACCCTACGGCAAAGTTCTTGACCACAGGTAGTTAGATTGAAAGCTAGTATCCATATCTTCAACTCATATGAATACCTGGGCGAGAAAGTGTTCCTGAAGACTTCACTGACCACCCAAAGTATAATTACCTATCAATTACGGGTATGGGCACACTCTTTCATATGTGTGTACAGTTCCCTACGATAAGGTATTTTTACCAACTCTAAGTGGGATTGAAAGCTTGTCCCTGGCCCTTTTATTCATGAAAATGCCCGGGTGGGAAAGTGCACCGGAAACTCACAATATCATACACAATTTCTTTTTTTTCAGTACAGGGCTGGTGGCAGGAATTTCTATCCTCCCGTTTCCCTTCGGCAAAGTTCTTGACCACAGGTGGTTAGATTGAAAGCTATTATCCATATCTTCAACTCATATAAATACCTGGGTGAGAAAGTGCACCTGAAGACTTCACTGACCACCCAAACTCTAATTACCTATCAATTACTGGTATAGGCACAATTTTCAGTATTTGTGTACAGTTCCCTACGGAAAGTTTTTACCCACTCCTTGTGGGATTGAACGCTTTGTCCCGGCCCTTTTATTCATGAAAATGCCCAGATATTAAGTGCACCGGCCCTTTTATTCATGAAAATGCCCAGATAGAAAGTGCACCGGCCCTTTTACCCAGTATGGTAAAAATAATAACCACTATCCTAAGTTCAAATAATGTGTCATTAATTTTATGTCAAACTATACATTATACTTACTTCTATTGGAAAAGTACCTCTTGTGCGCACTGGTTCCGGGAAATTTGTAAGTACAAAAACAGGTACTTTTGATCTGAGCAACAGGACAAACATGCCCTTCTTTGTAATTTTTTTGTTTCATTATTCAAAAGAGACTTTCAACAAGGGTCCTATAGTGGTCCCAAGTCCTTAAGGTTTCATTTGATACCAAAATAAACCAAAGTATTTTACTTATGGACAAAGTTATAGCTATATGCGTAGGAATTATTTTTTTTGAAATCTGTACTTCTTTCTTGTATGTTCTTTTTGACCGGGCCGATATAGTAGTTCTATACATAAAGGGTTTTAAGGAAATACAAGATATTTGAGGATGCCGAGAGTATAGATATATCTACCGCATATAGCAACCTTTTTGTTCAGTTTAACTTTCTATTTATCTCACCGTAAATTGACATCTGTACTAAGATTGTTTAATTATGTTCTAAAATACTTAATACAACTCTGAATCTTGAGTCGTGGTTTAGCCGTAATGTACTAAGATGGCATTTTGTTAATTTATCTATACTATATGTAGTAACTATTACACGTTAAAAATCTCAGTTTAGAATAACGCAAACAAATAATATTCCAGTTACTTTTGTTTTTTTTTAACTTGTTTTGTTTTTGCTTTTTGAGTTTTTTTTGTTGAATATTTTTTTCTTTCCTTTTTATCAAGGAACGAATATTTCGATTTAATGAACATATATAATTCCATTTAATATAAAATCTTCAAATACAGCATTATTGGTTTAGATAATTAGCCTTGAGCAAGTACACTACCCTTGGACAAAAAAAATAATTTTGGTCTAGGTTAAAGGTCAAGGTCATATTCTAAATTTTGATTTTAGCTTATTTTCACTTCTTTTCAAAAACTGTATAAGATATCGACAGCATATTATTACTAAATTGTTAGTTGTGACATATCGTAACACATACATTTTGGTTTTACGGGTGCGCTAACATTAAATTAGAGTTTTCTCCCCTCTTGTATTTAAAACTACGTATATGGTGATATAACTCATTAACCATATATAATTAAGACCTAGGTCTTTTGATTTGAGGTCCTTGGTTAATGACCTTGAAATTGAGCTCAAGGTCATAGGTAAATTTGACGTTCTAGATTTTGATCTATGCTATTACCTCATATGTATACATGATAAAGCCATGGGACTTTTTGCATTAGGTTGCAAGCCATTTGACCTTGGAAAATCCAACCGGAAGTGACCTTGTGTAAACCGGAAGTAGCTATTTTTTGTACTTATTTAATATAAAAGTATATAGAACCATATATTTTTGGAATCAGTGTCAAGTAAATATTCAAAGTATACCAGAAGTAACATTTTTCAAACCGGAAGTGACAAATTATCTCCCTTATTTAAAAAAGAAATGTATAGAAACTATATATTTTTGGAATCAGCGTACAATAAGCTATCATTTGACGCTGGAAATGACATTTTAAACCAAATTTTAATATTTTCATATCAAAATAGATCTTTATGGGTGGAAAGACCTTCAATTGTTCTCTGAACAATTGGTTTTTAATTATTATTATTTTTCTTCCGCCTAATTTTTTTCTTGCGCAGTATCATTGTTTCACAAGATGTCGCTTAGATTTTTGGTACATAATATCGAACAGTTAATCCGCTTTTAAAACTGACCCTGTTTACCCGAATACCTTTTCTTGTGAGAGTTATCACCCCAAACACTTTTTCTTTTGTTCACTACTCCGTCGCAACCGTGAAAGATTATGACAAATTTATTTTACCAAATTGCTCTTCAGGGTTATGATGACCATTGGACTGAAGCTAAATGGAGACTCCATATGAGAGTTATTACCATTTATGCATTTGATATAAGTGATATGCATTTCTAACTGGTAAACCATAAGTGATAGAGACCTAGGGTCTTTGGATTTGAGGTCCTTGATCCCAAAAAAAATAAAATTAGGTCAAGGTCAAAGGTCAAGGTCATATTTTAAATTTGATATTGGCTTATGTTCACTTCTTTTCAAAAACCGTATAAGATATCGACAACCTATTTTTACTAAACTTTTAGTTGCGACATGTCGTAAGTCATTTATTTTGGTTGAAAGGGTACGCTGACATTGAATAAGAGTTTTCGCCCCTCTTATAATTAGAATAAGGCGTATAGTGATATAACTCATTAACCATACATATTAGAGACCTAGGGTCTTTTGATTTACTGTCTTTGGTTTATGACCTTGAAATTGAGGTCAAGGTCATAAGTCAATTTGACTTTCTATATTTTGACCTTTGCTTTAAATTCATAGTAATACAACATAAAGCCATTGAACTTTGTGCATTAGGTTACAAGCCATTATGACCTTGAAAAAGCAAACCGGAAGTGACAAATTATTTCCCTTATTTAGAAAAAAAATGTATAGAAACCAAATATTTTTGGAATCAGCGTACAACTAGCTATCATTTGATGCTGGAAACGACACTTTACACCAAATTTTAATAGTTGCATATCAAAATTGATCTTTAAGGGTGGAAAGACCTTCAGTTGTTCTCTGAACAATTGGTTTTTAATTTTTTTTGGAATTGTTTTTAGCCTTGAATTATTGGATTTAGTAGACAAACGAACGGTTTTCTCATAGTCAACATCCGGGTCATCAGATTGCAAAGCTATAGGTTTCTTAAGCCTGTCCTGTTTTGCCGATGTAAATTTTAAAAATAAAATCCTATAACTCGGAAACGTAAAATCTTAGATTTATACAAATTAAGAGGGAGCTTGAGTTAATATATATAAACAATTCACCAAAGTTTAAAAAAATTGGTTAAAGCTTTTTTGAGTTATTGTCCGAAAACTGGAAAATTCCCCCTTCTTTTATAAATAAAATCCAAAAACTCGGAAACGTAAAATCTAAAATTTATAAAAATCGAAAAGGAGCTTACGTCAATAGATATAACCAATTGACAAAAGTTTCATTAAAATTGGTTAAAGCGTTTTTGAGTAATGGTCCGACATGTTGACCACGGACAGACAGACGGACTGACGGACGGACGGACGGTATACCATAATACGTCCCGTAAACGTTCCTATAAAAATGACGTCATTCGATATATGACGTCGGGCCCTAATGATATTACATTTGGGACCCATTGAAATAAAATATTACACTGTTTAATTTGCTGTATTTTATTTGAAAGATTTACAGCAATGATAGGAAGCTTGCAAAAAATAAACATATTTGTCCCTCTGGAAGCAAGGGGGTAAGAACACTAAGAAAACCAAAGTGAGATCTTTTCTGTATCGTATGCTCATTAAATACCGTAATTGGTTGACGGCTTTGGTTTCTGTCCAAGCAATGTTTTAAAGGAGAAAATCTTCGAAAGAGCACATAATTGATTTTTTCTGTCGTTAGGTTGGTGTCTTGTTGACATATACTCTGCATCTCCTTTATCAATTGACCAAACAGCCGACAAATTACACAATTTGATGAAAAGAGTTCAAATGGCCAATGGGACGTGGAGAGTTAATGAATGAAACAAACAAAAGTGGTCGTTGTTGTTTGTTTTTCGCCTTCTGAAAACGTTGTTTCCTTGACGAATATTTTTTTCCCGAAAAATTATCAAACTTATATGAATAAAAGGAAAATGGTGATATACAGATTTTTTTTATTAAGATATAGACATATGGCATTTTACTCCTGCTATGAGTGACATTACTCTCTGGCAAATGTATACGCAGAAATGATGTTTTTGTTTACATAATCAATGCATTCAAATGAACACAAGCCATCAGTTTCTGTAGTGTCTTACTCGGTTGCCTTTTATTATTAAACAATAGATTGCAAATACATAAATCAATTTTTAGTTTAAAACAATAACAAGAGATGAACAAATTCGAATACACTTATAATACAATAAACTATACAGGTTATGAAACATATAAAAACGGTTTTCAGAAAATAATAATATAACTGTAACGTATTTATTTATCGAATATCTTAATATGGGGAATATAGACGTATTTGTAAACAAAATTGAAACTATTTTGCAGTTGTTGTTATAGTGATCAATATGAGTCATTAAAGCGATTGGTATGTGGTGGACTATAATAGTGATCCTGTCTTTAATATTACGAACCTACTTGCACTGATGTACACAAAAAAACAAAATGCCATTGATAACAATTTAATATGAAAAAAAAAATACTACTAACTGTATATTTAAATGTACATGTACATGTAGCTGTGTAATTTAAATAAAACACGACCACTGAACTAATATTGAATATACACCGTTTTTGCGCAGGCTTATTTTCATTTTTATGCTCATTCTTTTATGAACCATTACATTTTTCCTTAAAAACCTCACGGAGGCCTAAACACTAACATGAAAATCGCTATGTTCCTATTTTTTTTAAAATTATTTCAGACCTCATTTTCAGTATACGCATGGTTTCTTTTACCAACTTTTCTATGATGCAAACTTTGGTTCTGTGTATTTACAGTTCTGGTGTTATATCTTTGTGTTGAATTGCAACTTGAAACAACTTTAGTATTCTCAGTAATGGTTTTCTTGTTATCATTTACGGCTGATTCGTTTTCTTGTGCTTTTGAAGAAGGCCATAGGTGTACACTTGCTATCAGATGTAAAAAGGTGCCCCACCTGTGGATGAGCATTCCAATAAACTGCAACAATATTACTAAGGCAAACACTAACAAGAATGCTATGGACAAAGGTTCGTATTCGTTTAAAATGTATACATTTTTTAGCTGATCCGTGTTGTTCTGAAGTTGGAATACAGCCGTTGAAAACAGGAAATTGATCAGTAAGAACCCAAATGCGACATTGTTTCTGAGGGATTTAAGTTCGATTTCGATTTCCTTCTTTTTCTGAGGGTCTTCCACAAATGGATGGAGATACTTGTCAAGTATATCACGCCAAAATTCAGTTTCAGAATCTTTTATTTCTCCTTTTTTTTCTTTCAGTCCCAAGTATTCCATCTTCTGCCAAGCGTCAAGATCTTGTCTCACTTTTCGTCTCTTTGATTCAGTATGTGGATCAGGTCGTACTTTTTGCGTTTCTGGTTCATTGTCATTTATTTGCTGCTCGGCTCTGGCTCCCAAATACTGCTTAATTTTCCTTTTTGTATCATTCACAAAAGTCAAAACGCCTAGTGTCTGCAAACATCTATTTAGTATAGGAAGCTTTGTTGTTTTTGTAGATTTTATCGCCTCTGTATTCTTAATATTGTCGTCTTCTGTTTTCTTTTCACGGGTACCCCATGACACAACATGGATATTGCACATATAGTACACGGTAAGGAATATAAAAGTAGACGGAACCATAACGTAATACAGCAACCCATGAACAAGACACATCAGTTCCTTTGGATGAGCTAATCCTGCGAATAGGAAAATAAATAATATTTCTATGAAAAATATAACATTAGGATTGAACGTTTTTTCTGCTGCAAGATTCACAAACAATCCTACCGTGACGATAACCATCACCAACGTGTACACTGTTGAAAGTAGCGCTGCTGCTGCAATTTGTTTGTCGTTACTACATTTCATGCATATGATGGCATATAAAGCCACTGGTATTACAGCGACGACATATGACTGGAACAATGTTATTTTCAGAACTGCATTAAAAGATCCGGTTATCATTAACGTGACCATTCCTAAACCTAGTAAACTTGAAGCAAAAAGAATGAATTGGTAGAAAACGAACAAGGTGCTGATATTAGGATTTACTTTTGTTGTTACTCTCCAAGATGAAAGCAAGTCAATGATATTTGCAAGTGTTGACGGTGCCCATCGGCGCCTTTGTACAAAAAAATCTTCAAATTTTGCTGGCGCAAATGTGAAAGCGTCGGCGCTAGCAGCGTAATCTATCTTCCAACCCTGTTGTAGCATCAATGTACATAACCATCGATCTTCACCTGTAAAATAAATGTTTGCAAATTAAACATTTCAATCGCTTGAAACTTGTTATTAATGAAAAGAAAGGCAATTAAGCTAATAATATATATATATATATATACATATATATACAAGTCTAAATTGAAAACAACGTTCAATCCTATGATTGCGTTGGATAAAAACCGCATTTTTTATACGTGTGCATGTAAAACAAATTTCTTGGTAGAGGGGTCTAAATACAGCACAAACAACATTTTCCAAAAGACCAAAATAGTGAAAAAGTATATTTTAACAAAACGCATTTGACTAACAGGTCGAACAACGGATGTTCTTAAACCCTGCTGACTGCCATTGGCGATTGCCAAATAAATTGATCATCAGTACAAAATGGATCTTAATATTAATTTAATACCAAACAGAAAACAATAAGTTTGCGGAAAAGATTGGAATACCGCAAACATAAGGTGCAAAAATTTGTAAAACCTATCCGGATTTCGACAATTAATGTCTCTTCAGTGATGTTAGGAATCGAAACGGTATTTGGAGGGCCATATATTTACCTCAATTTAGGATAGACTCTTGAATTTTGAGGAGTCAAAATAGGATGAACGGATCATATAAACCCAAAGGCAAATATAATACAAGCCCAAACGAAAAAATATAAACAAGTGTAAATTGAAAACAACGTTCAAACCTATGATTGCGTTGGATAAAAACCGCAATTTTTATACGTGTGCATGCAAAACAAATTTCTTGGTAGAGGGGTCTAAATACAGCACAAACAACATTTTCCAAAAGACCAAGAAAGTGAAAAAGTATATTTTAACAAAACGCATTTGACTAACAGGTCGAACAACAAATGTTCTTAAACCCTGCTGACTGCCATTGGCGATTGCCAAATAAACGGATCACCGATGTAATCAATGGATCTTAATTTTAAATTTAATACTAAACAGAAAACAATAAACTTGCGGAAAAGATGATATACCACAAACAAAAGGTGCAAAGGTTTTTGTACACCATATCCGGATTTCGAAAATTAATGTCTCTTCATTGATGTTAGGAATCGAAACGGTATTTGGAAAGCCATACAATTTACCTCAATTTAGGATAGACTCTTGAATTTTGAGGAGTCAAAATAGGATATATATATTACTTTTAGAAATCGAATAATATATATATATATATATCCGCAATACAGATAAATTTCATTGTGTGGACACATTGATATGTGCAGCAATGGAAAATTTAGAATATTTCCATTGTTCAAGTGCAACAGAGGGGGTGCGAAATATCCCGACATGAAATGGAACATTATTTATTTGTAAATGCTAAACCTTCGTCAACTTTGAAATTAAATAATAGTACCTATTCAAATCAAACAGTCCTATTCATTTGGGATGTACATGTATAAATATGCAGCCTCTGTTGTAATAACTTAATCTTCGTCAACTTTGAAATTGTAGAATTGTACCAGTTCAAATCATACAATGCTATTCATTAAGGATGTATTTAGATATAAGACGATGTTGTATGAGTGCCAATGAGACAACTCTCCATCCAAGTCACAATTTCTAAAAGTAAAACCATTATAGGTCAAAGTACGGCCTTCAACAAGGAGCCTTGGCTCACACCGAACTTAATTTCGCCCTCTGTGAAATTTTAGAATTGTTTAAGCTTATATCGCACATTACTATTCTTTTGGGATGCATTGGATTCGAACCCCTACATCTGAGACATCGTGATTATACCGCCTGCACTGTGTCGTGCGCCCTATACCTATATATATAAACATTTGATAAATCATTGTTGTTGTTTTTTTTTAAATTAGAGACATGTTTTAATATTTTAACATCTACACTTTATTTTAACATTACTTCCTTTATAACGTAGCGTCTTTGTAGCGTGACGTTACAAATGACAACGTCCATATTGTCATCTTGGAGAGGTCATTGGACTATAGTGTTTACCATGAATATCTTCCGTTAGGAGTGAAACCGGTAGCACTCATTTAAACATTTTTTATACAACGATATACAGTCGACTCGCGTTATCTCGAATCATTCAAACCAGAGAAGTATTTCGAGATACCTGTAGTTCGACTCAAACGAATACCGGAAGTCTGACAGGCAAAGGGACACAACTCTTGCTTAGCGTGATAAGGCTTAAAAAAAATCCATTTTTGTGGATATTCTTGTCTGAAATCGATGTATCTGTATGTTATTGTTGTCTTTTAAAGTTATGATAAAAGTATGTTGTTTTTTTTGTCTCATTGTACAGTAACAATTTTTCCGGTAGTTTTCGGCCAAGAGAATAATTTTAGACATTGATATAAAAGCTCGATCTTTTTCCGCGAGTGAATACGCCGATTGGGTAGTTTTGAGTTGCTCATTTAATCCTCACTCTATGCACAACCAAGCTAACTAATGTATGATTACGGATAATTGATTATAAAACTTTTTAAATAGTTTTTCATAATCTGTAACAATGTGTCGCTAATTATTTATTATGGTGACCAAAGGAAATATTAGGTAAACACTTTCGGAGAAAAGGTAAAAAAATCAAAACACTTGCCAATGTCAAGAAATTTAATTACAGGTGTATTGTCAGATAAACTGGTCAATCCATTGAAATACCCAAAGGTCATGTTTTGACATATGTGTATTACTTCAACACAACTAATGCAATTTGTAAGCTTTTAAGAAATGTGTTTACCTTGGAACCGTAACATTAATTCGACACAACCGAAATTTCGACTCATCAGGAGTCGAAATACATATATTTGTATGGAACAAAGTTCGGAACCACGGGAAGATTTCGACTCATCCGAAATATCGAGACAACGAGTGTTAACTGTATATTCTTATGCATTTTCTACTTTTTAATGTTCCTATATATTTGTTATTGCGCGTTTGTATTGAAATTTTTACTTTATGTATATATTTATATTAAAATAAAGGTACAGGAACGATAAAGATTATGTTTATCATATGGTGTCGTCCTTAATATCTTTGTAATATTGGCCAATGAACGTTGCAACTTACCTTACTTCAACATCAGATTTCGTTAATCAAACAAAATATCTTTAAAGTCATCCCATTAGTTTTTACGCAGCAAAATTAAAGTACATTGAGCTGTAATTTTTTATCTGCATCCGATTGCACCTGAATAGATACATGCCCGATGCAGCTAGTTTGTCTAGCGAAAAAATGCATTAATTTTTTTTATCGCATTGCAAATAATTTTAATATTCTAATAATTACATACTTAATAGTGTATTTGTCGTGTACAAGTTGGGATTTTGTACATGTTATAACATGTACAAAAATGTTGTACGTGTTATAACTTGTACAATGCAAAAATACAAGTTATATCATGTACAAACATACCTCGTACATGTTTTAACATGTACTTAATATTGATTAAAAATGGTTATAACTTGTACAAAATTTGAAAATAAAGACATGTTGCTATTATTACAACACATGTTATTAACCTCAGTAATATTTTCATCATTTTTTTATTGTTAATTCATGTAAGAGTGTTTTGTCCTTTTTGATAAGTTATGTACTGGTTACCTGAATTACACAAACAACCATTTAAATTCCGCATCTAGTAAGTGTTCTACTACTAATCTGTCAGTGATTCTAACTACCTTCCTTACTACTATCAAAGAACTTGTTGTTAACTTTTGTAATAAAGCTTATGAAAATAATGGTATTAATTATTTTTGTAGTGTTAAAAATTCATTAGAGGTTTTAGATAAAATACGTGCTTTTGATGCGCCTTTTAATTTTGGTGACAGTTTGATTTTTCTACTCTCTACACAACACTTCCACACAATCTTATCAAGAAAAAGTTTCATATTAATTTAAATGGTCTTTTGAAAAATCTCAATGCAAATTTATTTGCTGTAACTCGTTTAAAGCTTTTTTCTGTAACGAAAAAGGAAAGTATGCTAGATACACTTACTGGAAATGTGAAGATATGATTGAAGCTTTAAATTTTCTCCTGGACAACATATATGTACGTTTCGGCGATAAAATGTATCGACAGGTAGTAGGTATTCCTATGGGCACTAACTGCGCCCCTTTAATAGCAGATATATTCCTGTGTTGCTATGAATCTCAGTTTATGACCAAACTCAGTAAAGACACGTCATTGTTACATTTGGTTGATACATTCAACAATACCTACCGTTATCTTGATGATATTTTTTCGTTAAATAATCCAGAGTTCTCTAAATATACTACCAAAATTTACCCACAGGAACTTACTTTAAATAAATCTTACATAAACAGCAGTAGTTGTCCTTTTCTAGATTAAGACATTTCAATTTTTAAAGGGAAACTCCATACTTAAATTTACGACAAAAGAGACGATTTTTCATTCCCTATTGTTAATTTTCTCTTTTTAGACGTCGATGTTCCTTGGCTCCATCATACGGTGTTTATATATCCCAACTCGTTCGTTATGCCCGTGTGTGTAGTGATGTCCTAGATTTTAACGAACGTAATCAATGCATCACTGGTAAATTATTAAGTCAGGGATTTCGTTACCATCAATTGCGTAAAACTTTTACTAAATTCTTTCATAGATACAAAGATTTGATTAGTAAATTTGGCTGTACCTGTAGAAAACTTATTAAAAACGGTATTTCACATCCTAAATTTTACGGTTATATTGTACTGAAAGCGCGGAAATCACTATGTGATCCTTGTAAACTCATCGAACCTTTAAACAAACTTATTAGTAAAGGTTATCTTACCAATGTTGTAATTAGATCTTTGAATACAGTTTACATTGGCACAAATATCGATTTTGTCATCAGCAAATTAAAACATAACTAAATCTGTATTCTTTTCAAACGGTTTTTTGGGATGTATAAATATACATCCACGTTCATTTTCTATTTAGAGATTACTCTGTCTATATTTATACGTTATTTCATTGGCGGCATTTTGTCCAAGGTCATGGTTGTCTTTCTGATATTGTTTTATATCTAACCCCCTTGTTTTATTAATTTTGTATTTACATTTTGTCATAGATCAAATTTATTCGTTCAGTGTATGTTCACTAGTTTTTTTTAATATGTCTTTTGATTGAGTTAAGCTATTTCAAATGATATTTTATAGTGTGTCTTTCTATGTTGTGGTGTTACGCTATTGTTTCAGGTAGGGTGAAGGTTGGCGCCTATTAAAACGTTTAAACCCGCTGCATTTGTTTGCACCTGTCCTAAGTCAGGAACATGATGTTCAGTTGTTGTCGTTTGTTGATGTGGTTCATAAGTGTTTCTCGTTCTCGTTTTTTATATAGATTAGACCGTTGGTTTTCCTGTTTAAATGGTTTTACACTAGTCATTTTTGGGGCCTTTATAGCTTGCTGTTCGGTGTGAGCCAAGGCTCCGTTTTGAAGGCCGTACTTTGACCTATAATGGTTTACTTTTACAAATTGTGACTTGGATGGAGAGTTGTCTCATTGGCACTCATACCACATCTTTTTATATCTAATTAATGAACAGATGAATAGTTTTTATAATTACTTAATACCTTTTAAAACACATATGTAGTCAGCAGACATTATTCAGTATATTCTCACCTGATGAATTATAATTGTAACTTTTCACTCAGAAGGCAATAGTAAAATACTTTCATACTAGTTGAGACTTAAGATGCAAGTGGATAGCCAGAATAGATCTACAACAAAATCCTTGATATGTCGAGAAAACACCCCTTAAAGGAGAGGATAGAAATTTAAACCATCAAAATGACATTTGACTCATGCAATGATCTTATTAATTATCAAAAAATAATAATTTGATGCATAAGATTAAAATCAGTTATACTCAAGGCAAAACATGTTGAAGAGCAGATTCAATAATTTCAAAGTTATTCATAATTAAGCATGGTCCAATGAAAACCATATTCTCTCTCTGGCTTTTATAGAGTATGCAAAGGAGACCTTGCTTTCTTCAAAATTTCAGATGAACCTGAGTTATCTACTTTGTTGCCATTGAGGAAATATATGCTTTTATTAAACAGGATCGCCACTGCTGTAGGCAAATTGGACTGTGCTCTAAACAAAAACTTTTGATTATTGATTATTCCATAAATTTCAAATGTATATTCTGCTTTATTCAAATCTATTTTCAAATTTTGTACAAGTTAAATCCATTTTTAAGCAATGTTTTGTACATATTATAACTTGTATTTTTGCATTGTACAATTTATAACATGTACAATATTTCTGTACATATTATAACATGTACAAAATCGCAACTTGTACACGACATATATATATATATATTATAGTGTCTACAAATAGCAACAATCAACATTCAATCTATCTAGGCGTGGATCAGTTTGAAAATAAACTGATGCAGTTACCAAATTTAATTATATAAATGATTAAGAATGTAACTTTAAAACACTAATGAGTGTTATAAAAATAGTTGTTATATTTTATATATTCACGCAATAGTTCGCTAAACAAATTAGCTATATCAGGCGCGTGCAGCCATCCAGGTAAAAATCGGATGCTGTAAAAGATATTTTTGCAGCTTATTGTACATGTCTTTTAGATATATTTTTGCAGCTTATTGTACATGTCTTTTAGATATATTTTTGCAGCTTATTGTACATAGCGATTATTAAATCAAAACAAATAATTGTGTTAATTAAATAGTAAGAAGTTCAAGATTTATTCCTTTGGTTTTTGATAAAACTGTTTTTCATCTCTCTCATTCAGTCCACCAGGTTCAAGAGTACGTAGCTGATGCTCTCTCTCTCTCTCTCTCTCTCTCTCTCTCTCTCTCTCTCTCTCTCTCTCTCTCTGTTTTCTAATTTCTAGTCTTTAAGGCTTTTGGTGGCTCGGGAAAGACCTTGAATTCCAATTTGACTTGCAAGCAAATACTGAATACCCAGACTTTTAACAGTCACTCCACTAGTACGGAATACATCATATTTTACAATGTTATTTGCAAGACTACAAATGCTGTATATCTTCTACAGTGTAAATGTGGTAAACAGTATGTTGGCGAGTCAGAACAGCTATTTCACAAACGTATGAACGGCCATTGTAGCGACTATGAATGCAAGCCAGACCTTCATCTCAGTCGACATTTGAGATCCCCTTGCCACATTAAGGCAGATCTCAATCGACTGACCATTACAATCATAGACCACAACACTGCTTGGTCTATGGAGGATAGGCTAACTTGGGAAAGATTTTGGATAAGAAAATTAAAAACTTTGGCACCAAATGGGATCAATGAAAAGATGTAGTTCTAATTCGCGCAGTGCTTTCATTCGGGTTATATTACATATTACTACGCATTCTCTGTTGCTATTCCTTTACGTTTGTCAACTCTGAAATTCTAGAATTATACCAGTTTAAATCAAAGGATGCTATTCATTTGGGATGTATAAATACGCAGCCACTGTGAATTACTTAACCTTTGTCAAAAATTAAAAATTTTAAAAGTTATCAAACTGCTATTTATTTGGGATGTGTAAATACGCAGCCTCTGTTGTAATTACTTTATCTTCGTTAAATTTGAAATGTGAGTATTATACTAGCTCAAATCGGTCAGTGCTATTCATTGGGAATGTATTTCTACGCAGTCTTTGTTGTAATAACTCAACTTTCGTCACCTGTGAATTTTAGAAATATATCATTTCATATTGCACATTACTATTTTTGTAAGAAGCATTTCAATGCAGTCTCTGTTGTAAATACCTAACCTACGTCATTTTTGAAATTTCGGAATTGTTCAAGCGTTGTTCGGTTTTAATTGTATAAATTTAAAGATTGTTACAGTTAAGTCATCGTAGAATGATTATAAAAAATCAGTACTTAGCATGGTTGAGTATGTTTAGATTCCCATATTTATTAACACGTGAACGGATATCTTTGACAATCCAATACTGGCCCAAGAATCACCATTTGATATTGTTGTTGTCTTCACATATATCCCTAATTTTCCATTACTGCATTACTTGTAAAAAAAGTTTCTATTCACCCACCAAACCCATCTCCTCATAAGTATAGGGATGTAAACATACGCAACCACGCCTGCTTATTATTGTTTTAATGGATATAGTACACGATAAGCTATATCACTGATTGAGCTCTTTTATCACAAAGTTGACGCTTACTTAAGGGTCTGTTTTGCCCATTCTCCTTCTGTTGCTTTTGACAAAAACCTTTGTCAGTATAAACATTTTTTTCAATCTATTTTTCAAACTTTGAACTGAAAAGATTTACACTGACAAAGGCCATCTGTTGTTCCGAAATGTTTGTCTGTGCGATATTATGATCACCTTATTTGTATATTACTATTTTTTCAGTACCTATGCACAAATCTCTGGACATTTATAATTTTTCCTGTTTGTACAATAGTGTCAGTTTTAGACGATCCGATACCTATTATATTTGCTGGTTGGTCGTTTTCTAAAGGCTAAGATGTAGATATAATTAACTTTGATGTTTTTAATATCTGTATTCTTCATCGTCAGAAGGGCTTATGACAGTTTTGTACCTTGTTCATACTGAATGTAATGGCGTGCCTCCAAAGGAGGACTTGTATACATTCTCAACACATTATCGTCCAATACAGCAGCAGCACGAAATAAACTAAAAGCTCCTGGACAACAAAGCACACATCCAAACACATGTTCTGTAGCCTTTTGTAGCCAATGTCCGATAGCATATTCAAATTGTTGATACCATACAACAGGCCCTATAGAGAACATCAATGAATTAGAACAATATAATGAAAATCAAGATCATCATTTCTAGTTTTAGCTCCATTTGCAAGAAATAAACAAAGTTTTGTTATTCATATTCATTTGTTTCCTTATTGGAATGTATTACAAGACTTCAATCTTTCTCGACTTGATATGGATGTAAAGTTTTTTGTCCTTGAATTATATTTTATAATTCTTTTATGGTTTCTTGAAGTCTTCAACCAAAACTATTTTGTTAACAATCCTTCTTTGAATATAAAAAGAAGAAGATGTGGAATAATTGTCATTAAGACAATCTATCACCATACATAGTGACGTAGAAGATAGCAACTTTAGATCACCATACGGCCTTCAAAAATGAGCAAAACAAATACCGCATAGCAAGCTATAAAAGGCCCCGAAATAACAAATATAAATGAATTCAAACGAGAAAAACCAACGGTCTGATTTAGGTACAAAAAAATAAACGAAAAACAAATCTTATATACAGCAATAAACGACAACCACTGAATTACATGCTCCTGACTTGGGATTTGGGATATGCACATTGAGAATGTTGCGGGGTAAACCTGTAGCGAGTCCCCGACCCTCCTCCCTCCTAACCTGGGACAGTGGTGTAACATCACAACACAAGTTCAAACTATGCAGAACAATACACGATAGACAAATAAGTTAAACGACATTATTATTTTTATGAACCACTCAATTACAGGCTTCTGACTTGGGACGGGCACATATAGAATTAAGAGGGGTGAACCATGTTTGCAGGCGCCGAGCCCTCCACTACCCTTGGAGAGTGATGATACAGCACAACATAAGAACCAACTATAAAAATCAGTTGAAAATGGCTTAACATCATCAGATCGAAACAAGCCCAAACATAACTCACAAATACACAAAAGATACAAAGTACATATCTGAGAGTACTTGCAGTTACTGAAAGCTAGTTCAAAGCCAATAACAACAAATGAAAAGATCATTTATCTTAGATTAAAATACTAACCAATACACAGCCAACATCTAATGGATTTAGTGTCAAGACGTCCTTAACAGTCAGAGAAAAACTTGACATTGTGCAATGCCAAACTATAAATATCGATAGATTGTAGGACCATGGATGTACACTTGTCTTAAGCAAATATGTTTATTGATAACAAAATCAATTTTAATACCAAGGAAAGCAATATTTTCTTTTTTTCTCTGAACTCTGATTTTAAAAGATTCAACTATCCATTTTTTTAATATTTTCCTACTAACATGACTAATGACATGTTTTAACTTGTTCTCGAAGTTGGCTTTCTCCTTTAGCTATTTATATTATATATGTAGGACTCAAATCTATGGTGGGCTCCAAATCTATGGCAGATTCCTAATCTATGGTAAATGTGACGTCATGCCATCCCAAATCTATGGCAGATTGTTTTACAATTCTAATCTATGGCAAGTTTTGTAATTTCCTAATCTATGGCGGGTTTTTTGTTGTTTTCAAATCTATGGCAAATTTTGTGCAAATGGCAAACAATGCAGTACATATACGACCAATGACTTGTCTTTAACAAGTGGACATGTACGACGGGAGCATGTATATAAATATTTGTGAAATAAACATTTCATAATGGTCAACCAAATCGTGTTGGCAACCAATCAAATTCGTAAATGATGAAATCATATACCTTAATACAGACTTCAAGATTGAAATGATGTGCACCGTAAAAATAAACATTTTTTAATCTGTGCATGTTACCTATTTAACCCATTCATTAAACCAACTAGTAAGTCCCTTATAAACAAAAAAGGGGATAGTTTTTTTTATAAAACAAAAATGATAAATAAAAATGAACAGTTTGAATTTTCAAATAATATTTACTTCATCGTTAATATCATTTTTATTTGATGACGATTTAAATCAAATTGGTATCCGGCAATTTTATCTTTCACTTTATAAACTTTGCCAGCTGTAGACAGCAAAATATTTACTATAACTCCTTTTCTAAAATATCCGGTACTGAAAAAAGCGGTGTCCTTGTTCATCGCGGGTTTCGGCCGGTACAGCACATTTTGTCCCTCTTCCGGATAATAGGTCATATCTTCCTTTAAACCATCCGCAAATTGTTGTCGAGGGAAATACCTTCATCTGGAAAGGTGTTCAAATCTATGAGTTCCGCCAACGTTTGCGGCGGCGACGATGTAATATTGCGTTATTCTATTGTGACGTAATTTAAAGATCTGCCATAGATTTGGAGAAAACAAAAATCTGCCATAGATTTGATTTGTTTGACGTTTGTTACGTCACATTTGCCATAGATTAGGAATCTGCCATAGATTTGGAACCCGCCATAGATTTGAGTCCTACATATATAATTCTGTTTTCAAATTATCTGAAACATCAGCAATTTTTTTTAAATATCACATAAGCTTCCGTTTTTATATTTACCGAGATTAAGGATCTCTTTCCACAAGTTCCGGTTCATTCGTTTTCATGAGGATAAACATCATTTCGATCGTTAGCAGATTGTAAACTTGAGAGTTTTATTTTTTTTAGGTGAATTTTTATCTAGTATTTTTTATATTAAGGTAATTTGATGAAAAGTACGATTAAACTTCACCACTCTACGATACCATACCAAAATCAAATTACATATACATGCAGATAAAGTTCTTGATCGTCTGAATTATGAACAAATAGCTTTTTAAAAGTACTATTCAGAGAAAGTTAAAAAAAAAAAATAACCAACGTCTACCAATGTTTACCTGATCCTATAGGATGTATTCGTCCACATACAGCACCAACTTTGTCGTTTATTTTCATTTTGTCTATCAGTTTCTCTACTGCTTTATGTTTGAAATCTACATCTCCGTCCAAAGCCAATATAAAGCTGTCATATGCCTAGAATAAAGTTACTCTTCTCATTAATTTTAAGTAATATCAGACAAGGCAAATTTTTAAAACATAAACTTTTCTCGAGTTATAAGTGTACTTTTACAAAAAAAAAATGTTTTATCATATACTAGTCGACGATTGAAACGATACACGACTTTAGAAAGATGTAGGTTTACAAATCAATCATAATAAAAGACTAACTATTACAAAAATGGTCACCAGCAGTATGGCAAACAAGTTAGCGTTCATGTCATTTGTTCTCTGGTGAAGAGTTGTCTCATTGGCCATCATTAAAGGTTGGGAGCAAAAGTTACAAATTACAGAAGGTTGTAACAGATATTCACAAATCTTGCTCGAAAAAGAGTATAGGTTTACAAATAAATTGGGTACCGAGAACTGAAAATAAGCATGCTGATCAATTAAGTAGACACACTGATCCCGATGATTGGAATATTCATAGGAATGTTTTCCGCGATCTTAGTTGTCAGTTTGGTCCTTTTACTATTGACAGATTTGCTATCCATTACAATGCACAGTGCAGTCGTTTTAATTCGAGAATTTAGTGCCCAAGTGAAGAGGCAATGAACGCTTTTAGTCAATTTTGGGGAGGTGACACTAAGTAGCTAGTGCCACCTCCATCGTTAGTTGCCACGACTATAAACAAAATCATAAATGACAAAGCCAAATGCACGTTGGTTATTCCTGAATGGAAATCTGTTTCTTATTGGTCACTTTTATATAATAACGGCAGATTTAGAGATTTTATACAAGAGATTATTTACTTGCATAAAGACAAAATTGTAGGAAAGGGTACCGTATAAAATGGAATTTTTGGTGAAAATCTTCTAAGCTTTAGTTATCAGCTTTTGATAAGGATCTTTTGTTTTTTAGGTTGAAAACTGAGACAGAACGTGGAGAAGTCGTGGAGAGCAGTGGTGTTGGATAAAACAATGTGTTGAGAGCTTTGGCATGAAAGATGGCTTTGTATATAGTTGATTCTAAAAGTGAAGAAGTACTTCGCCGGCTTTAATTGTTGGAAATCGTTTATTAATGAACATGGTTTTCTAATTTACCAGCCGAACCTGTGCATGTAGCATTATATTTAACTGTTCTTATTGATAGACATTCTTCACCAAGAGTTTTGCAGTCAGCAATTTACTCTTTAAAATGAGCTCTCAGCAATTTAATCTTTAAAATGAGCTCACGAATTAAACGGTCACATAGATCATACAAGCATTCATTCATTAGGTCTCTATACGAATCTTGCAAAAGGCTGAACGGTAAACCGGTCGTGGAAAAAGATCCTGTTGATAAAAGAGAGGCGAAGGATACCAAATGGACATTCAAACTCATAAGTCGAAAATAGACTGACAACGCCAAGGCTAAAAAAGAAAAAGACAAACAGACAAACAACAGTACACAAAACAACATAGAAAACCAAAGACTGAGCAACACGAACCCCATCAAAAACTTGGGGTGATCTCAGGTGTTCCGGAAGGGTAAGCAGATCCTGCTCCACATGTGGCACCCGTCGTGTTGCTCATGACAGTACAAACCCGGTGATATGTATAATTCGGTAGTCACATTCGGGGGAAGGGGACGGTATAGTAGTTACGACAATTGGAACATATCCGTCGTCATCTGTGAAACAGATATTCCATAACGGTCAACCAACTCGTGGTGGCGTCCGTAAAATTTACAAAGGAATGATTTCAACTTCACCACTTGGAACTCTTGATTTAATAGCTTCCTTGTGAGCAGAAACCCTCTATTAAGGAAATCATGATAGGAAACACAAGCCCTGGAATATCGTATCAACTGGGAGATATATACTCCGTATGCAGGCGCTGCTAGAATGTTGCTACATATAAATGGAAAGTTCACAATTGGGAAGTTGAAACCATCTCTTTTGTCGTAAAGTTTTGTTTTCAACCGACCCTCATTGTCAATTTCTAGATGTAAGTCAAGCTAAGAGGCAGACTTAACTGTATCTGTTGTATCCTTTATCTCAAGTTCGATGGGATAGATGCGTTCAATGTAGTCACCAAATTGTGAATTATTTAGTGAGAGAACATCATCTATATAGCGGAATGTGAAATTAAAGGTTACTGCTAACTTCTTTTCTTTCTTCCTAAGAAGTTCCTGTATGAAGTCAGCCTCATATGAATAAAGGAACAAGTCGGCAAGAAGATAACATTTTGCTTAGAGAAATATGTAGTATGCATCAGCATTCTAGCGACTTATTAGTGATTAGGGATTTGACTTTGATACGTGTAGCTTAGGCGTTTTGACAAATTAAGTTCATTTACTTATGAAAAAGCAAACAATAATATGAATCAACATATTATTAAAACTTGACCAGATCGAAGTTGGCGAGAGAATTGTTTAATTGGGAAATTAACCTGCGAACTATACCAGTCACGTGATAATACAGATGTCACCAAACTGCGTTAAACTTCTGCACAGCGTCTTCATAGCGCATACAATACTACATCATACCAAACGAGCGTTATCCACCCATTTCACATAACCATGGCATCGTATTACTTTCAAAGGTATCAAATTTGCAAAAATGTTTCTTAATCAGGAAAACCAGGTTATGGTATCTTTTGATTAAAAGAAAACTCTATCTACATTTAAATTACGTGTACATGTAGTTTACTGGTATGGGCAATATATTCTCATATAAAGGTAATTAAAACCTATGTACAGATGAAAACAAATTTAATGTGAAAACTGGTCATTACATTAAACTAATTATAAACAGGTTTACAGTACGCGACGTTTAGTGTGAACAAGGCCTAAAAAATAACCGTGTATTGTTTCTGTTGTTGACTAGTGTATGCATTATATATATACCAGTTACAATAATACTTGCATTTTTATGTTTATATTAACTTTACTAAATACTACAAGCATTTTTTGTTTCAACAAATCTTTTCAATGTTGAAATATAATTTATAATATTGAACAAAAAAAAAACAAACACGTATAAAAAATTAATAAACTTTGATTTTTACTAAAAAACCGCAAACACAAAACGTCTTTTAAAACTTGCATGCATTTTGCCACTGTACATGTCTGTTTACCCACTTAAAACTTTGTTATATGCTACAATTCTAGGTAACATATTCACACAAACTCAAGAACCATGTGATACCAATCCTATCGATGTTTCATGAAAGAAAAGCTTGCTACAGCATTAAGTATTACAAGACTAGTGCAAGTCGTTTAGTCTCATGTTTGCTCAATTCCAAACAGTAGGACTTAATGTATATAAAGAATTGAGTTGACAACCATCCAACAGAAATCAAAATATTGTTTTGTCGATTTAAGAGTACGACATAATTAAATTGATTTGGAAAAAACATTTATCCAAAATATAGTTTATATAGATATATTGACAAATGTTGTTAAATTGGAAGTTGCATTACCCCGTTTTATATGGATTTGGTGTTGACCAGTGTTTTGTGTTCTGTGTAGTGTTTTTGTAGAATATTGTTTGTTCTTTTTGTCGTATTTCTTTTGGTCATGGTTTTGTCTTTTTTCTTCAATTGATAATTTCTATTTCCCTTTTTTGCGATGTAAGAAAAATAGTCGATGTTTTGTCTTTTATAATGTCCAGAATTTTTCGTGATTTCTGGTAACCTTTTCATGTTTTCCTATCCTCTTTTTTTTGTTTAGTATAAATACATGCATGTAACTAAATAGAGATAGAGAGAATTCTTGTATATTGAAAAATGGTTAAAAAAAAATCAACGAGAGAGGGGGAGGGAGAAAGGAATTGTGAGAGTGTATATAACCGCAAATATATAGTATTATGTGATTGTGTTGACTTGTGTGACATTATACTTACTTTTTTCTTTTTATCTTTTGGCAATAGGTTTAGTATCGAACGTTTTCCATTTTTATGATTTTTTTCAATTGTCTCATCAATCTCGAGTTCAGGATATTTTCCATTGGCTCCCATCATCTTATATCCCAATAAGTAGTACATGTACATGACCTAAGATGTGAAAAATGAAAGTGCAAGTATATTTTACTTTTATATCAATTGGGACAGTATACCATACAAAAAACTATAAGTTGGTGAAGTTGAAATCATCCATTCGAAAATTTTACGGACACCATCGCGAGTTGGTTGACCGTTTTGGTTATATATTTTACAGATGACAAGTAACAGTACAGCATAAAAACAAACTGTAAAAATCAGTTTGAAAAGGCTTGACTCATCAGATCGGCATGAAACATGAAAAACAAAGAGACGATACACACTTAATGCCGATAAAAAAGTACTCCAAGTTACTGAAAGCTAGTTTGAAGCCGATAACAATCTATTAAAAAAATATCTTCTCCAAGACGAAACTTTTAATTAGCGCACAGCCAACGGATTAATTGTAAAGACGTCATAAACATTCTGAGAAAAAGCATGACCTTGTGAAATGCCAAGATACAAATACATATTATCGACAGGATGAAGGACCATAAGATTTAATAAATGTATAGCAGTACATATTTAGTTATGCTTTAATTTAACTAAAACAAAATCAATATTAGTACCGATAAAGACAATATTCAAAGATCTAATTGCGGTCCTATAAGAACACATTTTTTCAAAGGACGTTTGCCATTATACATAAGCTTGCATTGTCTTTTATCAACAATATCCATGATATCAATAGAGAAAGTTTTAAATATGTCCCCTTGTCCCCTTTACGGGAATCTTCAAATTGTTTATACGATTGTCTTGATTGTTTCTGTTTCTGGACAGTACATGCTTATTTTATTCTCACAGAGTTAGAACTAATAATTGATTTTACCTGTGACCATCTTTTTTTGTGTCTGATTTTGTTTTTATCTTTCAAATGAATCGTCATATCTGTTTGCATTGGCATGTTCCATTCCAGTCGTCCCCCATATGGTGTAGTTTTTTTTGTTGGCTTACTATCCCATGGTAGATTGTTGCTAACCACTGATCTAAAACTGAGAACAATATATACTCCAAATAAGGTCGTAACACAATTCATACTTATTATCCATAGTAAAAAGGGGTGAACAAGAAATCATTATATTTATGAAGGTAAACATGTTTAATGAATATAAGTCAATCATAATACAACCCCGTGACTTGACAAACCGAGAAAGTTAAATTACACGATTGAGCTTCGTTTTTCAACAAAAGCACATGTTTTACCTAAGTTCAAGTCGTACATCGTCCTTTTGATTGCAAATTGAGAATGATTTCAACAAACACCACTGAAAAGCGCTTCGGACTCATGAAATTTATAGTGTTGTTTTCCTTTTTTTTTCAAATCTACTTACACATAGTAGTGATTTATGTGGCGCATAGGACAGCTAAATTTGTAAAAATAAATCTTCATACATCAACCGACATCGAAACCGAGATCAAGGATAGATTAGTGAGTTGAAATTCGTATCTTTAAATGTTAGTGTTAAGAAGTTTTATTGTCTCCTAAATCTAAAAATATTACATCAATATTTACTTCAACTCACATGAATCTATTTTAGTAGTAAAATTTATAAAACCTCTACTGAATACATTAGTACAACTAATATACAATTTATATATATCAATATAACTGTATGTATGATCTACATTAACCACGAAGCGTGTTTCATTCAAGGGACAGAGGTACACATAGTTCTACATTAGGTGCTAAATTGTTTCGATTGTGTCTGTAAAAGGAACCGTCATGATTTAATACATTTCCTTTCGTCTAATGGAATTTGTCGTCGACATCTTCTACATGACTGTACATTTCTAGTCGAATCTTTTCGTTTCCAATTTTATGTTGATTACTTATTTTCGCATCTGTATTGCGTACATGTCTTGAAGTATATGGTATAACAATGGGGTGTTGATATGAATATGGGGTGTTTCCAGGCAAGTTTTAAAATATCTTATTTTCTTTGGGGTATCTATCATAACCTGAGTGCAAAATATGTGATATCCACTATTTAACAAAGTCTGGTTATCTGTTGAACGATATATTCTATGGAAAAGGCTGTTAAAGATCAAACTGCCTCTTCTAATTCCGGATAATCCCCTTTAGTAGTTTCTCATTCTACAGTAGAGAGTAAATAACTTATCGATTTAAAAGCCTGATGAAGAATTGACCAAATTTGAGGATAGCTTGGTGCACTAAAGTTTGGCTTATATCAAATATCAAAGATAGTGGTTGAAACGCAGGGTAACATTTTAACCATATTAAAGTCATCAAATATTTATTTTGCCGGATGATAAGAAGTCCTGCTTTATTCTTCATTTTTTTTATCACTAGCCGCCTCGTCAGGATCGATCCAATTTATTTTATTCAAGATTTAATTTTTTTTAAGTTTTGGGTTAGTTCGAAGTTAAATAGACCTTATCGCTATTAGGAAATCTGCGATACTTGACCTGAGAAACTGCGACACCTGAACTTTCGACGTCATACAACAATCAGGTCCTTTGCCGGGTCAGAAAATTTTGTGACGTCAATATTTTACGGGAACCTTGTGATGTTCAGTAATGGCGGACAAATAGCGATAAGGTGTATTCATCTGCTGCAAATTGATAGGAAACATAATTTCCTTATAAGGGGTACTTACACCTTCTTGTATTTCGCAGTAAGCTTTCAATTCCAGTATAAAGATCAAAAACCACGATTACTACAATGTAATTTTGATTTGAAGATTTAAGATACTTTAACTGTAGGTTTTATAATGAGTGTTAATTGGATACAGCTAATTACCAAGTTGAGTTATTTAATTTCAATATAATGATAAACGAGCCATTGGCAAAACTATTTTTATTATTGAAACTAAATAACGACAGTTGATTTAAAACTGTATCCAATGCTCATGAGTTGTTAAACCTAGTTTTATTCAATTTTACAAGCTTCACTTCAAATTACAGTTCTCTTACGGTTCTGCTAATATTGTGATAGGAACCCACTTTTCACTACAACATCAGACATTTTTAAGACTTTTCAACGCTTTATCCCAGACATATAACCTTAGCCGTATTTGGCACAACTTTTTGGAACTTTTGGTCCTCAATGCTCTTCAACTTTGTACTTGTTTTGGCTTTCGAACCCTTTTGATCTGAGCGTCACTAGTTAGTCTTGTGTGGATGAAACGCGCGTCTTGCGTATTAAATTTTAAACCTGGTACCTTTTGTTAGCTATTATTCGTATGTTTCTCTGTTCTATATGTTCTCCCATTTATTTGTATTGTCATGTAATGTTGTAATTTCAATGTTATATTTATCATTGCCATAAAAGCGGGAGGTTTGGTTAGCAACAAAACCAGGTTCAACCCACCATTTTTTTCTTAAAATGTCCTGTACCAAGTGGCACTTGTTATATTATAGTTCGTTTCTGTGTGTGTTACATTTTAATGTTGTGTTTCTGTTGTGTCGTAGTTCTCCTCTTATATTTGATGTGTTTCCCTCAGTTTTAGTTTGTAACCCGGATTTGTTTTTTTCTCAATCGATTTATGAATTTCGAACAGCGGTAAACTACTGTTGCCTTTTTTTCTGCAGTGAAAAATGTGAGTGTTTTGTATATTATTGAATAAAACACAAATCTTCGAAAAGAAGCCCGTTGTGAACTTTGAAGCTCACCATTTACCTTACAAATAGCGAATGAAAATGTCTTACATATTTGTGATACTAATCTGTTTACAAAACATTTAACAAAAACCATTATTGAACAGCTTACTTTGATGCCTCTTCCATGCATTCGACCAGCTGTTTTACATATTCATTTGGTATTCTTTGCTGGGATTCCTTGTCAGTCTCAAAAGCGTCATCAAAAATTATATGAACTAAAAAAGAGGGTAGGTAAATATAAGTCTACATATACTTTGCATTTAAACTAAACATAAGTTTAATAGGGTATTGCAAACAAAAATCTATTTTTTACATAAGGATAATTTAGGGCAATTAAATTACAAGTCAAACAAAACAGTTCTCTTGTTATTAAATACAAAACTTACTTTCTTTTCCCAGTCGCTTATTTTTACTCCAGGACAAATCCAACCTTAAAAACCAATGGAATGTTAAAAGCTTTATGACAATTTATTATTTGAATGATTGAACACTATTATCTGTATACAAAACATTCGATTGTGTGGTTTCTTACTTTCCTGGGTTTTGTTGCCAATCAACTTCAAATTATATTTGAACTTGGTACTGTTTTGATTCGAGGGCCACTGATGAGTTCTCCCTAGACGAAAAGTGCGTCCTGCGTACCAAAATTGTAAGCCTTGTGTCTTAAATGAGTTTAAACAACAACTGGGTTGATGCCACTGCTGGTTTAACGTTTTGTTTTCGAGGGTATCACTAGCCAATAATTCACCACTTTTGTGTTAACATGAAATATCATTGAGACGTTCTTTTTCTGTAAATGTGCTGCTTATAAAATCTAATAGGCATAATTTTCAGAATCTTTGGTTTTTAATTTCTTTTGAACATCGTATTTAATTTAGCGTTTCAATTGTTTTGCTTTTAACGCCACTAATTAGTCTTATATATATATAGACGAGAAGCGCATTTGGTGTACCATATTTTACGCCTTTAACGAGTTTTTGATAGTTACTGATATATTTCACCAGTATAAAAACTCGCTCCATAGACAGGTAATTACATGTTCTTGTATGTGTCTTGTGTCATGACAATTTTGAATGTATTGTTCGACTGGTTGTATTTCATATTAATTTGAAATTGAATCTTGCTTTGTTACGAAGTACCAGATGTTGAACATATAACATTGAGTCAATTTTATTTATCGTATATAGTACAGAATATTTTATTAGGCAATATGTTTTTTTGTATACATGACTTTCGTCTCAGTGTACTAGTTGTAGTGTATTGTCTTAATAACTATCAGTACTTGTCTATGATTATTTGTGTATAACTAGAACACTACTGGTCACTACACCCTATTATAATCATTAAATATTGACCTTTCGATGTTCTCCACAACTTGGTCAGTAAAATTTTCTATAAACATATACATTTTATAAAAGATGTTTAATGCAAAGGTCATCTTAGATGTTCTCACATTCTTTTTCCAACGGGTTTTTATCTTCCGTTTTACTATTTTAAATGTTCACGCTGTCCTATATAGCTTTTAATCCTTTTTAATGAACCGTGTTTAGTGTATTAATTTGTAAATCTACATTATAGAAAATTTAGTCAACACACCTGAATAATGATTTGAGGAGTTGTAACATTTCCTGTCTCTTTTCATGCCACATAGTTCCACATATATAAATATACGGTTCTTTTTTTCCTGATTGATTTTCTTCTTCCTTTCCTGATTGATTTTCTTCTTTTTTTCCTGATTCATTTTCTTCTTCCTTTCCTTTGTCATTTTTCTTTTCGGATGTGTCATGTTTGTCAAGTTGAATTTCCACCGCGTCATCTTTCCTTTTCATCAGTAATCCAAGTGACGAGAAGAAACTATCTCTAGTTGGTAAAATAAACAACCTAAGGAGAATAATGGAGCAATATTTTTGATTATTCAAAGCTTGAGATGTTTAATTGTTATCTTACTGGCTTATTGCATCCTTTTTCTATAACAGATGTTTTTCAACGTTAGTAACTGTGTTAATATTGCATGACACTAATCATGTCGTCAGATATCTTCTTTTTTTGTTAACCTATTTATTTGTTATGGAATTAACATTATAAATCATTTTTTGCATAAAAACAAAAGTCAATAATACCTTTGGTCTTGTTCCAAGCTGTTGCAATCGGGAAACAGTCCATACCATGTCAAAAATATAATAGATACCCATAATGCAGCATTAGGTCCAGCCCACATGGAGACACTATTAATGTCAACACTTGGACAGGAAACTGCTACTCCAAACAAGTTAGTGTCTTCTGACCATTTATAACAGTATCCTATAACTCCACCAAAACATACTAGCGGAACCAACGTTAATGGAATGAAAAATTATATCCTTTGCATATGAAGTTTGCATGCTAGAACACCTTCATAGGAAGCGAATATTGAACAGTAAATATAAATGAACATAAGCTTATGTTCTCTAAAGATTTTGAAAATCTTGTCAATAAAATTGTCATTTAAGTTAGCATGCTCTTCTGTAAATGTCCAACTTATCTCTGGCAGCAAACATTTTGCCATTAATAAGTATATACCCACTTTCACAATACATAATTTCAAATTTATTTTTGGTCTTGCTTTGTCCACTTCTGTTCGCCATTCTTTTAAGTCGAAGGAACCAAATTTCAAGTTACTATACAGAAAATTTTGACAAAATCCCATTGAAACTCCAACTAGACTTGCTACAATAAGGATTTTTTCTTGCGTAGTATACTCTATCTGATTAGACACTGTGTCACTGAATATGATATGTGGTTGTACAATCATACAGACTAGAACTCCACATTGAATAACCATTGCTATTAAAGCTATGATCACTCGCGACAGCCGTATTACGAATTTGTTACTATGTTTCTTTGATAAGTTTTTTTCTCTAGGTTTTATTTCCCTGGCTAAAGCAATTTGTTTTAAAATGTTCAGTATTGACGGAATTGTAAATGACGTCATAATGAAAGTTATTCCTGATGTCATGGAATGGTTACAAAAAACGTTGAACAAAAGGTAGGATGTCCCACACACCTCAGCACCTTCTAATATTAAAACCTAAAAAAATAAAACTTACATATCATAAGACCAACTTTTGTTTATAATTGTTAGCTTCATCCATAGTAGTCAAAATATTCAAAACGTTGTTAGACGACCGGTAAGTGTGTAATATCCATTACTGTATAATTTTAATAGCTTCAATTCAATGGAAACTATAGTTTCCTAGTCTATTGAAAGTCATTTTAAAACTCAATGCAAATTGAAATAAAAACTATACTAAAATGAAACTAAATACTTCAAAAAAAAGCAATTACATGTATCTATATCAAATGAGGAGATGTGGTATTTTTGTCAATGAGACAACTATCCAGAAGAGTCAAACTGACGTTGAATAATTAATACATAATCACATGTGAAGAAAGGATGTTACTATAGCGTATATTCTTACGGTTAGCAAATACAGTTAGTCATATTTCATTGGATAAATACTTACAGGTAAAAAGAACTTCCATTCAACATTTTTTACTTTTCCAAAACACACTTTACACAAAGACTGTATAAAGGTTAAGGCAATTGGTGTTGAGTAACAAAGAATCAGTTCTGTTAAAGCATTAGACTGCTGAGCATCTCCCTTTTGAACGTAATAAATACAACAAAATGTACACATTGATTTAAGTTATAATCACAACATTTCATAATTGGTTGTACATAGAAGTAAACCACAAAATTCAAATTTGTATCTAATTTCATTATTTTCCAATGCTGTTGTTTTACGAAATACATTGAAAACAGTTTATCTAGAGCAATATTTAGTTTTTATACGACATGACACACATATTTTGTGTAACACATGGTCAGTTCTTACTACTTCCCCATAATATCTACAAAGATTCAATGTGTATGTGTGTTTGCGCGCTTTCCCAAACATTTGATTCTGATAGTGTTTGCAATTCAAATTTTTCAATATCAGTAACATTTCTTCCTTACCTTTTCTGTGTTCAGCTGCGACGATAGAAGCAGCGGGATGAGAATGGTTGCAGCACCTTTCATTGCGATACCAAATAACAATCCAACACATATAAAAAAACGACACAACTTCAAAAAGTACTTTTCCACTTTTTCACAGTCTCCAAAATCTCTTTCTGTATTTCTAAACACATCCCATATCCTTGAAAGTAAGTCATGATATTCATTCCTAAAGCTTGTAACAATGTTTTATTAAATATCTATCCATTTATACAAGAATAAACATTTTTAAATCTTCACAATTCTACATCGTATCGCGTTTTTATATCTGGTATTAGCAATTTTGCATAAGCAATTTTTCATTTATCAGTTACACAACGTTTCTTACAGACAAGAGAACTTTTGTAAAGTAATTGTTTTATTTGGACTTGAAATTGATAAAAGTAATCGGAATCAAAATATCAACATGTGACTAAATTCTCTAAAACACATTAGCAGATACAAGTTAGTTTTCGCTCTACAGCTGTAGTTTTTGCGTATTTGTTGTTATGGCCCCAAAAAGGGGGATATTAATACGTCATCACTGCACTGGTTGGATCTTTAAGTATGCCTTTTGGCTGGTGATCAATCTCATTCAACGTTTGTTTGTGCACTTAAATAAAATTTTACAAAGCTTAAACATTTTATCTGTTGTTTACAATTTTAACAATTTGTTTTACAAGTGTTATTACATTGTTTTAATATTTGATTAGAAAAATGAAAAAAACAAGCCATCACTTTGAAGAACTCGAGTAACTTCCCATTCAATGTAATTATCAATTAAATACGTGATAATTTTCTCATCTATTATGTTCTTTTCCTCTGTTTTGTATTTTACATTTATATATTATTAAGTAATCCTACCTTTTCTTTTTTTCATTCTTTCTCATTTGATTTTCTACATAAAAAGACGTTTGGGGAGAACTATTCACACACTGTGTTTCTGGTGTTTTATTTTGAACTGTAGTAATTTCAATATCATCGGTTATTTTCTGAATTTTCGTGCTGTTTTGTGGATTGCGTGTTCCAAGAGAATCTTGCTGTCTTGATGATTGCCCGTTTTCCCTTAATCTTGCTTGTTTTTCCTCTCTTTCAAGGTTTATTCTTTGTTTTTCTCTTTGCTGTATAAGACAGAAATATAATGCAATATTAGTATAATGTATTTATTTAACGAAAGTAATTTTAACAAATGAAAGAGAGGCGAAAGATACCAAAGAAATATTCAAATTCGAAAACAAACTGACAATGCATGGAACAAAAAAACGAAAACCGATCAAAAGATAAATAAAAGTATATAAAACACAACATAGAAAGCTAAAGACCGAGCAACACGAACCCCACCAAAACTGGGGATGATCTCAGATGATCCGGAAGGGTAAGCAGATCCTGCTCCACATGTGTCATCAGTCATGTTTCTCTTGTAAGTACAAATTAAACCCGGTCATAAGTCTAATTGGGCATGTCACATTTCAGGAAAAGTAGAAAAATTATGGTTACGACAATTGGAACATATCCATCGTCATCTCTGAAAAGATATTCAATAGAGATCAACCATCTGATGGCGTTCGTAAAATTTTCATTGGAAAGTTTCAACTTTACCACGTGGAACTCTTAGTTTATAAGCTTCATTGTAAGCTTCAACCCTTTATTAAGAAAATTATGATATGATTTTAACTGCCATACGTTATCGTCGTCGAACATGTATTAATTCTGTAGCCTACAACGATGGTTGCGGAAACTAGATATGTTTTACATTCCGGATGCAGCAACACCTTGATAACAGATTCAGTACACAATTAAATGTTTTTGCATATTCCCATCTATTAATAATAAGCATGATTTTTGGTATTTTAAAATTTCACAGGGTTGACTTTTTTCATACAATCACTTTTACTTTACTTGTCATCATGTTTATGCTGAAGTAAGCAGGTGACATTGTAGCTTCTCTGTAATTATCCATATAATAGACCAATTCTTTGTGACGTGTCGGAGTTTATGGTACATGTGTTGAATACAAATGAATGTACTGACTTTAAATTTCTTTCTTTCTTTTTTTTTAGTTTTTTATGTATTTAAACTTTGTAATTGATTTAGTCTTCCAATTGTTCTGTTCGAGCAAACTAATGAATTTCTAGACAAACTGAGTGTCTGGGGTTTATGAACTATTTATTGTTATGTTAGATGACTTTTGAAAACCTATTATAGCGATAGCATCAGAAAATATATACCCAAAAAAATGGAAAGAAAAAAGTATTTATTTTTACTTTTAATGGAAACTTTTCATGCATTGGTAACAGTACTTATATCTGATATTTTCAAACATTTTGTTTAATCGAAAATATCGTAATCCCATATCTAAGTTTTATAGAGGAAAATGTTCCGAAATTTACAATTTTTTTTTTTTTAATTTTCAAAATTTCATTAGCTGATTGATCGATATATAGGTGTATATTAAGTATGTAGAATGTAATATGTTCGATCAAGTTGAAAGATCCTGATGAAAAAATAGCAATGTTTGGTATGTCTGTGATTTGACTTTGGTATCAAGCTCTACTGAACTGTGAAGTATTTGGATTGATTGTGTTTCTCCGGAAATGTATTACACATTTAGCAATTTGAAATTTGAATTTACAATGCGTCAAGCTGACATATTTCATATGACTTTTTCTGTATTATACGGTCATGGCATCTTTGTTTTAAAGTAACTTTGCAAAACTTGTCAACAATATCTTATATTTTAATATAGTTTGAAATTATATTAAAACAAAACTAATAGGTTGTTAAATTATGCAATACTGGTTTCATAACAGATTTTACATTTCAGTAAGCAAGATTTTAAAATCTGAATTCCGATATATTTTCAGATTCGATTAATGTTTGAAACAAACAAAGTCTAATAAAAAACAGGATTTGAATCAATACTTTTTCATTCTGTTCTTCATTTAAAATTCATTATTAGTTATCATTTGGTTTCACATAGTTTAAAAAAGCAATCTGTGACTTTATCTGACAGAACGATTTCAAAAACTGTACTGAGAATTGTAGAGAAAATCCTGAAGGTGTTTTCAGGACATATTGTGTATCAATCAACTAATGTGAAACAATGTTTAAATAAAATATATGACCATCGGTCAAATGTCACGATAACCGATGGAACTCGACAGGAAATCTGCATTTGCCGATGCTATGCACCATTTTCATAATGTTTTGTATAATAGGTTCTGCCTCATCAACACAAAATAGAAAAAGAAGATATCAATAGGAGAATAAAACAATTATAAGTCAAATAAAAATAGACACAATGTAATTTGTTTTAAATTTGTTAACCGCACTTGCTCCTAGATTTTGTTCGATTGTTTATATGACACACGCGAACAAAAATAAGGCGCAAGTGTGGAGAATTATTTTTAATTAGATTGATATAGACAGTACCATATCGAAAAAGTAAACCGAAAAATAGAAAAGCAAAACATAGCAAAGTATAACACTGCATATTATTTACTAAACAACACGACCCCTCCCCCCACCCCACCCCCCCCCCCCCAAAAAAAAAAAAACCTGGGGTGAATTCATGTGCCCATGAGAAGTACCTAGCACTTCCGGACTTCCTGTTCCACTAATGGCCCCCGTATTATTCTCCCCATAGAGGGACCTAAATGATAGCCAAATTTATCTAAAGGCAACATGGAGCCTGAAGGAAGTTAGGAACCGTAGTTTCTTAATAATATTTTTTTTAATTCATAAACGGAGAATTTAAGACAAGTATGAAATAAATTGTTCCTGAAAGTACTTACATGAACTATCCTTTTGTCTACCAATTTTTCGCATTAATATTTCTGATGTTATTGCTATAGTTTAAGCGTAGATTAACATAGTTGTTTCCTTGATATATTTATGAACATAACAAGGCATACACATTGAAACATGGTAATACGGATTAATGTCACTGTATCGTGTCATATTTGTATCGCGTTATACACAAACCTTTTCCAATTCTGTCGTTTTCTTCTGAATTGTTTCTAAGACGTTTTCTTTCATAAAAACCTAAATAAAAACATATCTGTAATTTACGTATTATAAATATTATTATTTTTCAAGTTAACAAATAAATGTTCTTCGTTCAAACATTAATTATTCATATTGTCTTTCATTTTGAATTACAGAGTTCAAAAATTATATCGTACTATAAAAATACAATAGAAATTAATCATTCATTAAAGAACATTGTCGATGGGTTCCTGTCACATTTACTCACAATTAAGGAATGACTGTAATTTTTTTTCTGTCTATGAAGAAGTAACATAAAAAGTGTGGTTCACACTGAAAAACCCGCGTAGCGGGTCATTTTAAAGTGTCCACCACATTTTTTATGTTATTTCGAATAGACAGAAACAATATTACAGTCATTTCTTATAATTTAATTCTAAATTCCATTTTAAACCGGAGTAAACCATGAAAAAACGTTGATGACGTCACGGTCACATGACAAAATTATGTCTTTGAGCTGAGCAAACCTAAGGATGACAATATTTTTTTCGAGGGTAAAAAAACTCTATTTAACTCCATGAATATTTCTGAAAAGGTAAAAGAATAAAATAAATTTTAATCTTAAATACTTCCGATTACTCATCCTGTAAATTTACCTTTGTTTTGCCTATTTTGTAAGAGGCTTTGTCGACATTACAAGCCTGTACTATATTGTCTATTATTTCGTACTGGTTTTCACCTTCTGCCATGAAGTTACGAAAGATTTTAAATCTACAATAAAAAAAAATCTTATTTATTTGAGTTATCAGTGATATGACCTGTCATTTTTTTTTTATTTGGGCAAGTTAGGATGCCATATTATCTTCTTTATTTAGTACAATTCCATTCAAGTATTTTTTATTTTCCTGTGTTCATCAAGCACATATTTGTTCGTTCTTTATTTGTTTTATCTGCTTTGTATCGATTGATGGTCGGATTTGTTTTTGTGATAAATTAAACATTTCTCTAATATTGGTGCATAACGAAGACGGGATTAAGCTACAATCAATGATAATGTCAATTTAAATCCTTTTTTTACATTTGGTTTAATGTCCATACGAGAAGGAGATTGACAACCGATACCGTATATTCAGCTATAAAAGGCCTCGAAATGAAAGTCTAGTTATTTTGTCTTACCTTTATAACAATTCTTGATATCAAGCTAATTTTAAAATATGAACATTTCTACTATTTTCACCTGGGGTGAATTCATGTGCCCATGAGAAGTACCTAGCACTTCCGGACTTCCTGTTCCACTAATGGCCCCCGTATTATTCTCCCCATAGAGGGACCTAAATGATAGCCAAATTTATCTAAAGGCAACATGGAGCCTGAAGGAAGTTAGGAACCGTAGTTTCTTAATAATATTTTTTTTAATTCATAAACGGAGAATTTAAGACAAGTATGAAATAAATTGTTCCTGAAAGTACTTACATGAACTATCCTTTTGTCTACCAATTTTTCGCATTAATATTTCTGATGTTATTGCTATAGTTTAAGCGTAGATTAACATAGTTGTTTCCTTGATATATTTATGAACATAACAAGGCATACACATTGAAACATGGTAATACGGATTAATGTCACTGTATCGTGTCATATTTGTATCGCGTTATACACAAACCTTTTCCAATTCTGTCGTTTTCTTCTGAATTGTTTCTAAGACGTTTTCTTTCATAAAAACCTAAATAAAAACATATCTGTAATTTACGTATTATAAATATTATTATTTTTCAAGTTAACAAATAAATGTTCTTCGTTCAAACATTAATTATTCATATTGTCTTTCATTTTGAATTACAGAGTTCAAAAATTATATCGTACTATAAAAATACAATAGAAATTAATCATTCATTAAAGAACATTGTCGATGGGTTCCTGTCACATTTACTCACAATTAAGGAATGACTGTAATTTTTTTTCTGTCTATGAAGAAGTAACATAAAAAGTGTGGTTCACACTGAAAAACCCGCGTAGCGGGTCATTTTAAAGTGTCCACCACATTTTTTATGTTATTTCGAATAGACAGAAACAATATTACAGTCATTTCTTATAATTTAATTCTAAATTCCATTTTAAACCGGAGTAAACCATGAAAAAACGTTGATGACGTCACGGTCACATGACAAAATTATGTCTTTGAGCTGAGCAAACCTAAGGATGACAATATTTTTTTCGAGGGTAAAAAAACTCTATTTAACTCCATGAATATTTCTGAAAAGGTAAAAGAATAAAATAAATTTTAATCTTAAATACTTCCGATTACTCATCCTGTAAATTTACCTTTGTTTTGCCTATTTTGTAAGAGGCTTTGTCGACATTACAAGCCTGTACTATATTGTCTATTATTTCGTACTGGTTTTCACCTTCTGCCATGAAGTTACGAAAGATTTTAAATCTACAATAAAAAAAAATCTTATTTATTTGAGTTATCAGTGATATGACCTGTCATTTTTTTTTTATTTGGGCAAGTTAGGATGCCATATTATCTTCTTTATTTAGTACAATTCCATTCAAGTATTTTTTATTTTCCTGTGTTCATCAAGCACATATTTGTTCGTTCTTTATTTGTTTTATCTGCTTTGTATCGATTGATGGTCGGATTTGTTTTTGTGATAAATTAAACATTTCTCTAATATTGGTGCATAACGAAGACGGGATTAAGCTACAATCAATGATAATGTCAATTTAAATCCTTTTTTTACATTTGGTTTAATGTCCATACGAGAAGGAGATTGAAAAAGTATATTTCTTACATATTTATTTATTTTTATTATATGATAGACATTAAATATAAAAATAAGAAGATGTGGTATAATTGCCAATGAGACAACTCTCCACAAGAGGCCAAATGACATCGAAATTAACAACTATAGGTCACCGTACGGCCTTCAACAATGAGTACAACCGATACCGCATAATCAGCTATAAAAGGCCACGAAATGAAAGTCTAGTTATTTTGTCTTACCTTTATAACAATTCTTGATGTCAAGCTAATTTTAAAATATGAACATTTCCACTATTTTTAGAAATATATTATTTGCCCAATATTGTTGCCTTGACGTTTGTTAGATATTGCTTTTCTAAAACTTCTATTTTAAAACATTGTATTGTAATGATTTATATAAATGTTTTGATATAACCACATTTCCTCCCATTTTAGGGGAACGTACCTTTCCAGAAATTTCACATATGACATTCTAGTCGGAAATCCCTCTCTTCTTATTCTGATTACGTCGTATATTCCAGCACTTTCCAGCTGCTTCAATACAAGATTTTCATCGAAATATCCCGCCTGTTGTTTGTCATTTGATTTTATACAGCTGTAAATTCGAACATATTCACATATTCAAATTAGCACGTAGATATTTCGAATTATGTATTACATTTATTTTAATTAAAAATAGAATTTCTCCGTTAACTTTTGATCAAGTGATTTTGTTCAATAATTACTGTTCAAATATATTTTAAATGCAGTTACTAATCGAAATATTGGATAACTGCAATATTTGTATGCAAACCGGAATATTGCTTCAAAATGAGATTAGTATTCTTACAAGACATTCATTGGTATGAGAATCACATTGTTCTATAAAACGTTGAAAATGCAAAGTATTAGTTATGAAAAATAAACAAACAAATATACACTACCGGACAAATAGAGGTGATGCATCGGCCAAGATTTCAACGAGACAATCCAAGGATTTCTAAATAAAAAAAATAATTTATAAGATTATATTCCTCTGGGTTACAATAGTCTTTCTAACCTTTTTCTTTCGTACATTTCAAGATTAATATTTTAGATTGAAGATTCATCAAATAATATCAATGTAACAACCATATTAAATAAAACAATGTGTAAGGGAAAGATTTTCCAAGAAAACTCGTGCAGTGAGAGGGAAGTAAAGCAAAATTCAGAAAACAAAAAGCTCTGTATAACTCCATTAGATGATCATTACCTTGTATTGGAAGGCTGCACTTTTCTTTGACCTGGGCTGTCGCCTGTCCTCACATTTGTTTATTTCTTTACTGGATCTGCAAATTGACAATATATCATTTTTTCAATTAGTATTATTGAAAAATTACTTAAATTGAAATAAATTCGTCTGAAAATGAAATAATAAAAATTATTCGGCCGTTCTTTAAGTTTGAGGTTATACGATGTTTTTGTGTATTTCCTACCATTTCTTTTAATTTCTAAATATTGGGGAGTTTTCTGCGCATTTTAAATGCTTATTGGTCCATTTATAACTATAGGTCACCGTACGGCCTACAACAATGAGTACAACCGATACCGTATATTCAGCTATAAAAGGCCTCGAAATGAAAGTCTAGTTATTTTGTCTTACCTTTATAACAATTCTTGATATCAAGCTAATTTTAAAATATGAACATTTCTACTATTTTCAATTAGTATTATTGAAAAATTATTAAACTTGAAATAAATTCGTCTGAAAATGAAATAATAAAAATTATTCGGCCGTTCTTTAAGTTTGAGGTAATACGATGTTTGTGTGTATTTCCAATAATTTCTTTTAATTTCTAAATATTGGGGAGCTTTCTGCGCATTTTAAATGCTTATTGGTCCTTTCATAACTATAAAATAGCAGCTAAACTTTTTTCAGCTTTGTATGAAAAATAATTCTCTATCAGCATTTAGTTTAATGATATAGTGCTTAATAGCTCACGTTATTCATATATAACCTCTCAACTACTGCTAATATTTACAAAAATTTTTTTTATGTTTTGTAGGATACGAAATGGGTACAGTTTATGTCTCTACGAGGAGTATTCCTTTGAAAAAAAACCAGTTTAAAGCATGCCGCCAACTAGAGCAGAAAGATAGATAACCACTACACATATCTTTCACTTATTTGATTGTCGAGTCTTTTTTACATGGTCTATTTGAATGAGCCCATGTATAAGAAAATAAAACAATTTTTTTTTGGAGATAAATAATACAAATTATCGAGCATAAGACTCAATCGCTCCTTTGCAATTAAGATAGACGCAAATGTTTTCATTCATTTTTGGTTTTTTTATGTAAGGGATGTATTATTTTCTAATTGCAATGTGTTACAATCTTGAACATAGGCGAAATGCATGTACACTGTAGGTCTTGTCTTGGAAAGCAGATCGCAAGTCTGCTCAATGTTAACCTTTTTAAGGTTATGACTGCACCCATTTGTAGTTGTAACTGGAACATACTTACCGGTTATTCGAAAACGAGTCATGTGAATCAAAATAATCATGGACAATAAAGTTGTTGCTGTCAGAAAAAATGTCTTTTATCTTTTCAGGAACAGTTCCTCTGTTCTTTTCTAAGAATTTACTAGCGCTATATTTCACCTATTTTAAAGAAAAATTACATCACCAGACGCTCGGGATATAGTCAGTGTAATCCTTGTTTCAATGATATGCATTGATTTTATTTTATGCAATAATTAGACAAAAATGAAAAATTTAATACCTCTGAAGGAAAGTGTAGATAATAAACAATGCCCTTTTCTATATTCTGGTATGAATAGTATTTGTTACAATATCTACGATATTATAAAAGCTCTATCGTTTTTGCTTTCCGCATTTGAGCGGTTGAATTAAATAACATGACATGCCAATAATACTGAGGATATATATGGAAAATACTCTTGTGTGATCATCAATTGCCTGCACTTTTATGTTGTAAACGAGCCATTATCACATTTGACTTCTAATTATCTATATAATCACACTTTCTGTTGTTTTTAAACTAAGACTAAACTTATTTTGATAAAAGTTCGCAGATTTTTAATGAGAGATCTTATAATTCAACTGATAAATACCCATCCTGCATAATGAAAAATGGCAAATGACATTGTATGTCCAGGCTTGTAAACATCTTTTTTGCTTAATAATTTATTATTATATTCTGCGACAAGCACATCAGAATTAGAAATATTCGCTTGGTCATCCATAATAGATAGTATTCCTGGTTTCTAAAATGAAAAAGAATAGTAAATGAACAATACTCTTAATTGTAATATAATGATAAAAACGCAGCACACCATTGATAACATATTGTGATATTCATTTATTTCTTTGTGTTATTAATTATATTGCATTACTCTAATAAAAAGATAAGACGAGTGTTATACTACATATATTAGAATGTTTTACCATGAAAAGCAATTGATATGACGGGGACAATATATATTTCTAGCAAAACCTGGGAAATCTTATACACTGCCTGTACTTGCAGAAATGTTTTGAAAAGCGACAAAAGTAAAACATATGTCCAGTATTGAAGCGGAAACAAAAACTGATACGCTTGCAATATTGTAGAAACAGACCCTACAGCTCTTTGCAAAATAAATGTTATGTGTAAAAATTACATTTTAGGCATGAAAAGATATTAATTTTTCATTCCATTTCATATAATTTCAACAGAAATCCCAAGTTGACAAGATCTGTACCCGTCCTTCCATATTATAAGGCAGAAAATCCTGTCCGTGTTAGGCGCAACTTTTTGGAAGTTTTGGTCCTCGGTGCTCTTCAGCTTTGTACTTGTTTTGGCTTTTAACCTTTTTTTATCTGAGCGTCACTGGTTGGTCTTGTGTGGACGAGACGCACGTCTGGCGTATTGAATTTTAAGCCTAGAACCTTCTGCTAGCTATTATTCGTGTGTTTCTTTGTCCTATATGTTCTCCCATTTATTCGTATTGTGGTCCTGTCATGTGATGTTGTCGTTTTGGTGTTGTGTTTGACGTTGCCATAAAAGCGGGAGGTTTGGCATGCCACAAAACCAGGTTCAACCCACCATTTTTTCCTTAAAATGTCCTGTACTAAGTCAGGCAAATGGCCATTGTTATATTATAGTTCGTTTCTGTGTGTGTTACATTTGAATGTTGTGTTTTTGTTGTGTCGTTGTTCTCCTCTTATATTTGATGCGTTTCCCTCAGTTTTAGTTTGTAACCCGGATTTGTTTTTCTCTCTATCGATTTATGAGTTTCGAACAGCGGTATACTACTGTTGCCTTTATTTAAACCGCTGTCTGTTTGATGTTGTCTTAGATTTTTGTATTAATCAATAATAAAGATATATCATTGTAACATAATGAAATATTAATTAATCAGTGTCTAAGCTGTTGAGTGAGATGATAAGTACACCATTGAGGTATATAGATATGTATTACCTCACAGATAAGATCAAGAACTGGTTGATTATCATGGAAAGTATTCGTCTGCATTTGTATGTCTTCATTGTCATAATCTAGGTTTTCTAGGCCAAATATCTGGTGTTGGAGATATTGATGCAGTCGTTCATTTGTAATGTTAATGAATAACTGTTCCAAACTGTTTTCTGTCACATTCTCAAATCCACTGATGTCGAGGATTCCAATGAATGGTTGTCTAACAAAATAATGCATTGTTAATAATAATCTGAATGCGTTTACAGATCAGAGAATTATAGATCCAAAAATAAAATGTAGAGAAATTTGACGAATAGTTTAAAGAATAGAAAATAATAGGCAAAAAATAAGCATACATCAAAATGGCCTTTAAGATTAAAGAAATAAAGAGTACACAAATGAATACCCACACATTAGAGAGAGATTAAGACGCTCATTTATGACTAGAATGTTTAATTTTGTGTTAACTTAATAGATTGATTGGTGTTTAATTCCACTTTCAGCACTATTGTGCTATTTCGTGGCAGTCAGTTTTTATTGGTGGAGGAAGCCGGAGTGTCCGCACAGAACCACCGACCTTCGGTATATGTAGGAAAACTGACAATCCTATTTAATAAAGATTAGAGTCGGGCGCACCTGCCACGGGCGGGATTCCAATTCACAACCTCATTGTTGACAGGCTAGTGATACAGTAGTAGTTCGACTACTTAGACCACTGGGCCACCGAGGCACCCCAGATTAAATGATATCAGTTTTTTTTAAATTTCTAAACATTCATATTGAAATGAAAAATATATTGCAGTAGTTATAAAGTTTTTAAAAATTGTTCAACACTAGAGATACTATTTACCACTATTTTTATTGATAACTACCTTGTCCTACATTAAGACGCCCTACCTTTGATAAACTTTTGTATTCCATCTATAATAGCTTTATAAAACCCTCAATGCAATGCTTTTATATTAAAATTGAGAATGGAAATGGGGAATATGTCAAAGAGACAACAACCCGACCAAAGAGCAGAATCTCGCACATCAGGAGCATGAATCTGGTTTAACGGTTTCCGAGTAATTTGACCTTAAACTAGTTTAAAACGTTTTTACTATATTTGACATAAACAAATTCTATGATAAATAAATACCGTTCATTTGGATCTATGCTTCCTTTGATACTTTTGTTTATCTGGTCTATAATAGCTGTGAAAACTCCTGAATACAATGCTTTCACAATAGAATCTCTCACATCAGCAGCTTGAATCGGGTTTAACAGTTTCGAAGTTATGTGACCTATTGAAACGTGCAGTAAGATAACTTATCGTTACGCTTTGCTTATGAAAGATAATAAGAATGAGAAAACATCGTATGTATACTTTCAATGTTGGAATAAAATTTTCTCCTTTGGTGAACATTTCTTTTGTATGTTTATAGTATCATTTTTTTTAACTTTTTTTCTTTGCTTTATAAGAATTTTAATTTCCTTTTTTTGTATCTTTCTACGTTCAAAACTTTAAATTTAACATACCTTGAGCAGCTATAGGTAGACTTATAAAAGCGTCTTTGATGGCAACGATGTTAACTTCCGTATTATCAATTCCTAGAAGCGGGATTGCTAGAAATAAAAGTAAACATTTTGATTTGAATGAAATAAAAGCATTAGTCCATATATTTTTTTCCATCTGCTCATTTGTTCTTTAACTTGCAGTTTACCAAACTCATATTTTTTTCTATATTCAAATGGGTAGTTTATTGTCATATCGTAGTTCAAATAAATTGTTAAGGAACTACAACTATTGAATTTGTTCATCATATTTATCAGATTTGTTTTCTAAATACTGTCAATTAAACAAATAAATATTTTCAAATCCCAAATTTGTCATTTTAGGTAA